TCCTGTTTGCCACAGCCAACTCTAAGGAGTGTCACCGCAGCCTCTGCCAGCGTCCTCCCCGCTACGAAGTCACGCTGTGGGTTTTCCTGCTGTGCCCATGAGGATGTTGAGATGGCAGCGGAGCAGCTTTGGCCACAAAGGGTTGCTAACATCATCCGTGCTCTATATATCACAGGCTTCCCGGTCTGCAGTAAACTAATGTGGCAGTTCAGTGGGGTTTATGGCTATGGCCATATTTTTTCCTTGGTACAGTTTGAAATTTGTGATTACTTCCATTCATTCTGAAGCTATTATGTGTACGGTGTGGGCAGTCCGCTGGAGGTGAGATGAGGCTGACAGGAGAGGGGCATGGTCGGTGATTTATGGATTCAGACTTAACTTCTGTGCCTGGAATACATGTTAAGCTGGCTCCATTGGTAGGCCTAGGAGGAAACGAGTGAAATCGTATAGGCTTCTCTGCTTCTGTCAATGAGGCTGTTTCTGCTGAGAAATACTATTCAGGTTTTTGTACATGTCTGTTTGTAGAGCCGCACGACGCTTGTAAAATCAGCTAAAGATTATCAGTGGAGCGTCATGGTTTTTACAAGGTACAGTTTCATATCTTTTATAATAAGGCAGAAGGGCGTGGAGAAATGGAGGAATAGGTAGATACGACCATTCCTTGAATAAAAATAATATATTCCTGTTTATATTCAGTGTTCTGGAAGGCAAGGTTAGCCTTTGGGATTGTTTTTAATTATATTGAAGTAAAAATGTGTTTGGGCATGCCAAACTTTTATAGTCCATAATGAGTTTATTGCATATAATAATTATGGGCTCGGTAATTAAAACTTAAAAATTACTGCTATTTTATTTAATATAAATGATAAATCAAAGATTTCATTTGACTTTTTATAACTTAAAACTAGGATGTGTCAGAAACATCAATCTTAAATTTCATGTTATGGTAATTGTATGTTAGGCTTTGAGTATGGAAGTTGCATGTGTATAAAAGTCTTTGATAAGTCAAAAACATTGGCTAAGAGAAGAATTCTTTTAACTTAGTATAATATATAGGTTTTAAAATAATTTATAACAATAATTATTCAAGATTTTTTTTCTTTTTAGGGCTGCTCCCCAAACAAGAGACGATAGCAGTTTCTGCAGTTGCTTTAAAGGATCATATAATACACAGTCATCAGCTCCAGGATCTTTCATTAGCAGATCCTTTTAAGTCAAGGACAAGGAATATCAAGAACGTTTACTAACCCATGAACAAAGAAATGTTCAGACCAGTAGTAGATACTGGACTAAGAGAGCACTTGCCACAAAGACAAGGAAGATGCAGAAAAGGAGTATGCTCTTGATCCCAGTCCTCCACAGCTACTATTAGGTAAACCATTATATTCTGATTTGTGAGTTTTTGTTTTTATTTATAGCAAATTAAAATGAGGAAGCTAAGCTTTCTGTTCAAGTAGATACGTTAATGCTAAACAGCACAAAAAAAAAAATTGTGAAAATTCACAGTTTATGCCATCAGATAAACAGTAATTTAAACAATGAAATTGCCGTCAGTGATTTGAATGTGTCTTTTCATATTTGAAAAGTATTAAAAAATATTATTATTGTGACAATGAATGTAAAAATTAAGAAGGTAGTGCATCTTGATGAAGAATTGTTCATGAAGAATTGTTCATGAAGAAGTGAAAAGTCTTTTACTTTTTTTTAATATGTTTTGTATGTTGACTGCCATAACTTTCTTTACCTTATATTCTCAAGCAAACATCAGTGATTTACATATTGTATTTATTTGGGGGAATGTTTTGGTATTAAGATTTTTTTTTTAAGTCTACTTGAAATGGTTTGTTTTATTCCTTTTTCAGTAAAGAGACATTTACTAGCGCTGCATTAAATGTATTCTTTGTTAATATATACCCACCTTTACTCAAAGTTAAAAAGGTTTATTTTTACAATGGTCCTGGGGCTAAACCTGGGAAGAATTAACACCTGTAGTTAAATACCTTTTTCAGATTTAGAAGCAAACGTGCAGCAAGATAAAAGTCACAGATGTGAGGGCTTGGAACGATGCCTGGTGAGAAAACTCACTTGAATAGTAGTGTAATAATACAGTTGTACAGCAGCGACAGACAATATTGTTTAAAAAACCTAAGCCAGGGAGCATCTTAACAGACCAGGGAGTCCAAATGTGCTTCCCGCCTGTCAGTTTCAGTCCTGTGTTTCCCTTTTCTAAAGATTTCTGCAGTATTCTTGCCATGAACATCTTCTTGTCTCCGTCCTTTCAGTTGTCTTAATTAGGCTTTTCTTACAGGACCTTCTGGCTCAACAATTTGCAGTTTTAAGCACAATAAACTTTCATCATCATTAATAGTTGTTTTGTTTATTCTTTTTTATACAAACGCCCTCAGGCCTCTCTGAAGATCGTGTTGCTTTTGCTATAGTAACTGTCACAGTAGTCCCAGCTCTAACGAGAACCATGTAAATCAGTGAGGCTCCACACAAGCACAGGCATCTGCCTCTTGGAATCAGCTGGAGGTTAAGAGGGTAACTTAAGATAATACACGACAAGCGAGTGTAACAAGTGATAGGACAAAGGTGGGTAAAACAAGGTGATTATGTTTACATGGTTATAGTTCTAAAGATGGAAGGGTTTTTTCCTTGGTTCATTTTGAACAGGAATTTGAAAGAAGATAGTGGGAGGAAAAAACAGCAGCGAGGTACTGAGGTTAACACAAATATAAATAATGAATGTTATGGAAGCTTAAGGTTGTGGTGAAAAAATGCAGCCCAAGTGTGAGCATGTTCTCTGCAATTACAGGAAAGATGAAGTATTTTGTCTTTAAATCAGCATTGACTGAAACATCCTATATGAATGCTTTTGCAAGTGATTTCAAAGAATGTGCTGGAAGATTTTTTTAAAATTGCAATTGTTTATGGGGTTTGCTTATCAGTATTTTCATATATAGGCTCTCGTTATTTTAAAATGTTTGTGTCAAGGTTTGTCTTAATGAGAATTGTGTGGTTTAAACGTTACAGTTGTGAAGGGACTCCAAAAATGTAATTTAATGCAACTTTTTCATCTTGATTTTGTGGATAATCAAACAAAATCTCACAGGCCTCTGTCATGAATTTTTTCTCAATAGGTACTTGAGTCCTAAAATCAGGTGGTAATATTTTAAAGGTTAATGTATGTAATCACTTTGCTAATATTTATCCTAAAATGAACAACTTGGTGGTAAATGGGTGTGTCAGTAAATGGGTTGGGCTTGCAAACTTGCTGCATAGGGATGAAAACTCTTGGATGTCTTGAGCTGTGATAAATGTAGGCTTTCGTTGCTTGTATTTATTCAAAGTGCTGCTTTGAGAATATCTTCATAAAGCCCTTTGCTTCAACCGCATATCCCTTCTTGTGTGTCCTGCTGCCAGTTTTCCTTCATCAACTCTGTTGTATAAAAGCTTTCCTTCTAAACACCTGTATAACCTGTCCCTCACAAATATCCCATCTGGTTTATATTATTTAGAAGTTAGGTTTTGCCGCCAATCTCTTCCCATTTGGCAGCTTTAATCATCCATTTCTGAAAGTTTCAAATAAGCATTTTTTCTTACCCTGGGGGTATACAAACGGCTTGCCACAAAGCCATCTCATTGTCTTCCTTAAAACAGTCTCTGACCACAGTGCTTGGAAGAAAATCAAGGGCAGGCATTTTTATGTTGTGCTATGTCTTTCATGCTGTGATGGGTTTTCTATCTTGTTCTCTCCCTGTGGATCAAGATTTTCTCATCATAAAGACCATCGCTTGTGTATATTGATTATCAAAATGGGGTCTTGTTTCCTTACTCATTCACTGATAGTGTCAGGTATTACTGTCAGATAAAACTTGCTATGTTTTTACTCAAACTTTTACCGTGTATTTTATAATTTGATTATTCTTTTGTAGCAGAAACACTGTTCTGTGCAGTATATGCTCTTCAAGAGTTGAATAGTCAAGAGGGAAAGCATTCCTGGTTAGGAAAACTTTTTTGTTATTTGGCTACGAATTTCAGCAATTCATGTGTAAGCTTCAAGCAAAATCACAGAATCATAGAATGGTTTGGGTTGGAAGGGACCTCAAAGATCATCTAGTTC